AATCTAGAACTTGGTGTGTGCTTTTGCACATACATATTCTCTCTCCAAAAGACCAAGGGTCTCTGATGAACTTCCCTAGAATTGTTTAAAATGTGTTTATTTACTTATTTTGAGAGAGCGAGCAAGTGGGGGTAGGACAGAGAGAGGGAGAGAATCCCAAGCAGTCTGTGCTGTCAGTGCAGAGCCCAGTGTGGGGCCTGAACTCAGGAATCGGGAAATCATGACCTGACCGAAATCAAGGGTTGGATGGTTAACCAACGGAGCCACCCAGGCGTCCCCTAGTAAACTTTTAAAATCATGGTCTTAACTCCTTAACGGAGCTTAAGTTAAATGTGTCCCGTGTGCGTTCCCAGAAACAGGACTCTTGAAGCTTGTCTCTGATGGCCTCTGGCTTTCTCCATTCCTGGTGCCTCTCCTCGACTGCGTTCCCTGTGATCAATCACAGCCTGCCCCCGAGTATGACAAAATGTGGAGTCCTGTGAGTCTTGCTAGCAAAACACTGAAACAGGATGGTCCTGATGCCCTTAACCATCTGGCCATACAGGCCTGTGCAGATTCTCTTCAAGAGCCACATGCCACACACTGTGTCCCCCCGCATAAACAGCTCTGTGTGAGCACTCTGAGAGGGACCCGAACTAGAAGACACACATATACTGAGGGTCTGTAAGGGGGAGAAAAAGGAGAAATGAACAAAATGGCTGCAAGGTGTCTGACGTGGGTAAGAAGGCAGACGACAGTGACCTTCAGGGAGATGTGGGGCACCTCACACACACAACCCCAAACCCCAACCCCTGCCTTAGCCGTTGTCTACCTCTGCGCCACCTCAAACCCCTCGTCTGTACTCTCCGTACAGTTGCCACAGATTATACAGCCGTTAAAAAGTGAGTGTGGTTTGTCTCCTGTACTGTCACATGAGAAGGTAACTTGCAGACAAACGGTAATGGCCTGCTCTATGGCGCAGTGGTGCACAGACTGGCCTATGGGAGGTGGCGAGGTGCTCAGGGCATGGCTTCTGCAGCCAGCCCACCTGGCTCCAATCCCCAGTCCCGCACTTCCTGATCAACTGTGAAGCCTTGGGCAGATGTTTTAACCCTTCTGTGCCTCAGTTTTCTGATCTGTAAAATGGGGAGAACGTCACCTACCACGGAACTGTTGCAAAGGCTAAGAGTTGCTGTGTGTCAAACACTGCAAACGATGACTGATACACGGGAACACACCATGTCTGCTTGCCGTCAGGATCATTATGGGTGCATCCTCGTGGTGACGGTCACGGCCGCGTGACACACGCACACAGGCTCAGTAGGTAGGAATACCGACAAGGTGTGGAACGATGACCAGAGAGAAACATTCAACCTGGAGACAAGGACGTGGGGGAACTCTGTGATCACTGAGAGTAAAATGCCTCGGGGGCGGGGGGTTAACTCACTCAGGGATCCCCTCACAAGTGAGAAAGCAATGGCGACGCACGGATCCTGAGAAGCACAACTGTTTAATAGACGGAAGAAGACAAAGGGCCTCTGAAGAAGGGCAGGAAGTCACAGAAACCAGGAAAGTGCCTTCAAGTCAAAGAGGTGGGCAGCAGTAAAAGGCCCAATAACAGACTGGGGGCGGGGGGAAGCGTGGGAGCACAAGAGGGAACTCTGTGAGACTTGCTTCAGTCAGGTGCCAGTGGTGGAGGCCAGTGTTTAGTGGGGCAGGAAGTGTGTGTGGGGGAGGATGAGACTAGAGACTGGAACACAGGCATGGATTAAGAGGATAGAAAGGGATTAAGAGGGAGAAGTTAAAGACCAAGCGGTGAGGGTCTAAATTCGAACAGGTCCTAGACAAGCTGGGGATAGGGGGATGTGTCCAACCATGAAGAGCAAGAGTGACCCCTGGAGAGGAGGGACCCCTTCTCCTCTGGGGCTCTATCTAACAAGGCTTACAGAGCTGGGAAATTTTACACATGAATCTTGGAGACTATAACCCTGAATAATCTGCAGATCTTCAGTTTTAAGATCCATTTTTAGAAATATCTGTGGATAACAGGACTTCCATTTCTCTAGATACTTTAGGCTTTTTATTCCAATACCAAGATAAGCCACCAGAGTACCAGGACTTTGGACTACACAGTTTTGTCTGTTTTATTTCTAAGAGTCCTTCTTTGGTATTATAAACTAGGCAAGGAATTAGAAAACGTAAAAAAGGAGCCAGTAGAAATTAAACTGGAAAAACACAAAACAACCCCAAAACCCCAACACCACAAAGCCAAAGCGATAACTCACTGAGTAAGCTCAGCAGGAGATGAGATGAGAGACACAACAATCAGTGAGCTCAAAGATCAACAGAAACTGATAAATCTGAGTAACAGAGAGAATACAGACTAGATAAACAAAAAAATCTGAGGAACTCATTTAATTCGAGTCCCTGAATGAGATGAGAAAGAGTAGGACTGAAAAACTATTTGAGAACATAATTACTGAATCCCCAGATTTGGCAAAAGACGTAGGTCTTTAAAAAGTTAAACAAATAGCAAACAGGAAAACTCCAAGAATTCTGTGCCAGGACACATTGTAATCAAACTTACAAATACTATAGATAAAAACACCCTTCACGGAAAGGAAAAACTACAGACAGGGCAACGATGGGTTGAACGGCAGTAAGTAGGTTTCTCATCTGAAACCATGGAGGACACAAAAGAGGTATATGTTTTTCGTGTACTAAAAGAACCATAAACCTCAAATCTTTTATCCCATGAGAACATCCTTCAGGAATGAAGGGGACAGAGAAACACTTTTAGATGAAGGAAACCAAAATCATTTGTCAACAGCACACCTACCCCAGAAGAAAGACTACAGGAACTTTACCAAACAGAAGGCAAATGTTAACATAAGGTCTGGAACTTCAAGAAAGGAGAAAGAACAATGGAGATGGAATGAGTAAAAGTAGAGACAAACAGACCACTCTTTTCATGAGTTTTGTTTAAAAAAATGTTTGACAGCTGAGGCATAAATTACAACATCCAACATAGTGCTTGGTGTAAGAAGGGAAATACTTAATTAGATTTAAAATGGAAAATGCAAAGGAACCTAATGGAATTAAGGTTTCTATACATCAAAGTGCTTAAAATGCTGATAATATCAGACTGAGAAGTTATGTATATACAATGCCTACAGTACAAAAATTAAGACAACACTCAAAACATCATACGTATATCAAATGGAATTCTAAAAATTGTTGGGAGTAACCCACAGGAATGCAAAACAACACAAAACAGAACAAGAAAATAACAAAAACAACCAGAAAACGAGAAACAATGTGAAGGGAACACAGCAAAAAATAAAAAAATGGAACACTTAAGCCCTAACACACCAGTAATTACTTTCAATTTAAGTGATGTGACTCTACCAATTAAAAGACAGAAAGTAGAAGGGATAAAAAAGCATGACCCAACTATATGCTGTTATAAGAAACTTCTTTCAAATGTAGTGACACAGATAAGGTTCAAAATAAAACTATGGAAAAATATAAACCATGCAAACATTAATCGAAACATGCAACAGGGAGGAACGCCTGGTGGGCTCAGTTGTCTGACTTCGGCTCAGGTCATGATCTCAAGGTTCGTGAGTTCCCTGTGTTGGCCTCTCCGCTGTCAGTGCAGAGCCTGCCTGGGATCCTCTGTCTTCTTTCTGCCCCTTCCCCACTCTCTCTTAAAAATAAACATTAAAAAAAAACATGCAGTAGGGACTATATTAATATTACTGAAGTATGCTTCAAAGTCAAGAAAATGAACATGGGCAAAAAGGGACATTAAATAATGAAAGGGTCAATAACCAAGATAACATATCAATACTAAATGTGAATGCACCAAACAAAAGAGCTTTAAAATACCTGAAGCAGAAAATAATAGAATTTAAAGATGAACAGACAATAATGCTTTAGGACTTCACCATCCTCTCTGTGCAACTGGCAGAAACACTAAACAGAAGGTCAGTAAGGATACAGAAAATTTGAATACTACTACCAACCAAGAGGATTGTGCAGGCATTCACAGAAATTCCACCCAATGACAGAACACATTCTTTTCAAGCGGCCTTTTAGAACATTCAAGAAGACAGACTGGGTCATAAACACACAACAAATTTAAACAGGCCAAATGTGAAACAAACTAGAAATCCAATAACAAAAGATAAAGAAAATACTCTACTAGAAAACTAAACAATAATCCATGAACCCAGTAGTCTCTTAAGGAGCTGAATAAACTGGAATTAAAATTAGCTGCGGTGGGGGATGCCTGGGCAGCTCAGTCAGTTAAGCATCCAACTCTTGATTTCAGCTCAGGTCATAATCTCATGGTTGGTGAGTTCAAGCCCCACATTGGGCTCTGCACTGACAGCAGAATTGGAATGCTCTCGCTCGCTCTCTCTCTCTCTCCCTCTCTCTCTGCCCCTCTCCTGGGCACACATATGCGCATTCTCTCTCCCTCACACAAAATAAATAAATAAACTAAAAAATAAACTAAAAAAAAAACACTTGTGGGATGAAGCTGTCACACTGCTATAAGGGAACCTTATAGTACTAAGTGCTTAAATCAGAAAAGAAATGAGGAGCAAAAGACAACCAAAGCAAGTAGAAGAAAGGATATAATAAAGATCAGATGTTAGTGAAATTATATGAACAACAGAAACAAATGAAATTAAGTGATGGTTCTTCAAAATGATCAATAAAAGTGATAAATACCTAAGAAGATGGACAAAGATAGAGAGTGGACCTATTTCCAAAATCAGGTATCAAATGGGACAGAAGTATAGATCTTGCTGCCATTAAAATGGTAATAAGGAAATACTACAAGTCTACAAGTTAGAAAATTTAGATAAAACGGAACAATTCCTTGAAAATGCCAATCTTAAAACTATCCAATGTATCCAATATAAAAATTATTCTGAATTCAAGAAATTAGAGGAAAATTTCCTCAACAAAATATAATCAAATGGAATGTTTCAATACATAATACGTAAAAAAAAATTATACTCCACAACCAAGTGGGATTTATTCCAAGGATGCAAGACTGGTTCAATATTCAAAACTAATCAGTTAATACACAATATATCCATAAACTATAAAAGAAAAATCAGATAATCACATCAATTGATGGAGGCAAAGAATTTGGCAAAATCCAACGCTTATTCATAATTAAAAAAAAAAAACTCAGTAAATTAGGAATAGATGGAAATTTTCTAAACTTGATAAGAAAATTCCAAAAAGAACTTTTAACATTGTATTTGATGAAAAACTGAAAGTTTCCCGCCTCATTTGAGGAATCAGTCAAGGGCATCCTTTCTTACTACTCCTATCTGATATCACATTGGAAGTACACCTAGAGCAGTAAGAAAATAAAGTCATAGATAAACAGATGGGAAGGAAGAAATAAAACTCTATCTGCAGCTGATGCACCTTTGCAGAAAATCCTAAGGATTCTACCCAGAGAAATGGCTAGAAATAATGTGAGTTCACCAAGGGTGCAGGTTACCAAAATATCATCCCCCAAATCAATGATCATTCTGCATACTACTGAAGATCATATGGAAAATCAAAGTGTAAAAATCAACGCCATTTACACTCAAAAAACAAAACACCTAGTTACAAATCTTAACAAAAATATACAGAGCCTGTATTGAAAATTATAAAACGGTAATGAAATACCAAGAATTAAACAAATGAAGTATCATAGGATGTACGATGTTCATGATGCTGCTTTTCAACAAACAGATCTACAAACCAATTCCTATAAAATGCAAACACGATTTTCTGCACCCTAAGATTTATATGAAAAGTCAAAGGAACTAGGAAAACTAAATCAATTTAAGTAATAGAAATCACTTTTACCTAATTTTGAGGTTTACCGTATAGCTACGGAAACTAAGTAAATAGATGGGATCAAGAAAAAGTCTGGGTGTTTGGGGTTTAAAACCAAATAAAAAAGTTCGTTTTCTAAAACTGTTAGGTCTTAACGTCTTAACTGGTGCAAGACGATGTGCCCACTCTTGTGTGTGTATTTACCGCTTTGAATACCTGCCCTCTCATCTGTCTAACTCTCCTGCCAGTGAACAGTAATGAATGTGTATACAAGACACATAGAGGGTCAAGGCCCGGGGCCTCTGAAACACCCCCCCGCCCCAAGTAAACAAAGGAATCCATGACAAAGTGCTTGACAAAGCTTGACAGAGAAGTCTCACAAACTTTTCATTTCATTTGCCCTTCTAATCTCCACCTTCTTTTTATAAAAATTCCTGAGATAACGCTGCAGTGTAAACTAAGAAAAAAGTAGCTGAACATTTTACTTCCTGCATAATCAACACCGGTCTCTCCTGGATGAACTCTCAGATGCACAGTAAGGCTCTGGGCCGGGTCAATCTCTAACTGCATCTCTACACGACTCCTGATGGCCTGGGATGGAGGATTTTCTCACAGCGAAGATACCTGGGGGGTCTCTCTTTGGTATGTTCGATCAGATGCCATGGTAGATGTTTTCTCTGGCAAAAGGTTTTCCTCGGTGGTTACATTCAAGAAGTCTTTCCCCAGAAGGAGTTCTCGCAGGGTGACCGAGGACTGCCCGCTCGTGAAGGGTCTCCCCACTTCTGTTGCGCTGCCCCTGACGGGGTGTCTCCCAGTATGAATCCTCTGATGCTGAGTGAGGGAGGAGCTGCGACTGAAGGCCTTTCCACACTCGCTGCACTTATAGGGTTTCTCCCCGGTGTGGATGATGGCGTGCCTGATGAGGTTTGTGCTCCAGCAGAAGGATTTCCCACACTCCATGCACTCATAGGGCTTCTCTCCACTGTGAATCCGCTGGTGCCTCGTGAGCCCCGAGCGGCGGTTGAAGGCCTTCCCACACTCAGAGCACTCGAAGGGCTTCTCCCCGGTGTGGATGCTGAAGTGTCGGATGAGGTCCTTCCTAGTGCTAAAGGCTTTCCCACATTCTTTGCACTCAAAAGGTTTTTCTCCAGTGTGGGCCCTTTTGTGCAAGATGAAAGTGGAGCAGTGGGTGAAGGCCCTTCCACACTCAGTGCACACGAAAGGCTTCTCCCCGGTGTGGATCCTCTGGTGCCTCTTGAGGTAGGACCTGTGGTTGAAGGCCTTCCCGCACTCCAGGCACTCGAAGGGCTTCTCCCCCGTGTGGATGACGTAGTGATGAATGAGGGCCGCGCTCTCACAGAAGGCCTTCCCGCACTCGCTGCACTCGTAGGGCTTCTCCCCAGTGTGAGTCTGCTGGTGCCACATGAGGTAGGACCTGTGTTTGAAGACCTTGCCACACTCGAAGCATTCGTAGGGATTCTCGCCACTGTGGATTATGTAGTGACGTATGAAACCTGGCCTATCTCGGAAGGCTTTTCCACACTCTTTGCACACAAAGGGTTTCTCTCCAGTGTGGCTCCTGTTATGCAAGACAAAAGTGGAGCGGTGGGTGAAGGCCTTTCCACACTCGTTGCACTTATAAGGCTTCTCCCCGCTGTGAATCCGCTGGTGCTGTGTAAGGTGTGACTTGCGGTTGAAGGCCTTCCCGCACTCCATGCACTTATAGGGCTTCTCCCCGGTGTGGACCATGTGGTGCTGGAGGAGGTAAGTGCTTTTACTAAAGGTTTTCCCACACTCAGTGCATTCATAGGGCTTCACTCCAGAGTGAATTCTCTCGTGTCGAGCAAGGAGGCGTTTCTTGTTAAAAATTTTCCCACATTCGTTGCATTTAAAGATATTTTCTTCTTCTTGAATCATGGGATCTTTACCTGATCCACACGAGTCATGGTCATGGACAGCACCTCGCAGAGGGACTGGCTCCTGTACAATTCTTGAACACACATTATCAGCTGTCCCTACGTTGCCATCTTCAGAGCTTGATTTCCCAGGGAGTTTCTCCTTCTGGGGATCTATCTCTGGTCTCAAATGTCCTTCTTGCATTTCCAATGACCCATCCTGATCCTTGGTTTGGCGCTTCTGGGAGTCTCCTGCAACTCCTTGTATTAGTTGTTCTTGGACGGGGATGCCCTCAGACAGGGCTAGCTCACCAATGGCAGATACTGTGGCCTTGGGTTTTCCTTTGTCACCTGAAAGAAATCCAATACACAAATAGGTCTGTTGGTAATGCCAATACAGGAGAAAAACGAGCATTTCAGTGAAATGAACAGAAAAAAAATGAAGATGAAAATAGTGTCTCTGTGTCTTGCCACCTCTGAATCCCAGGATAACAATTTCTTTCCTGGTCCTCGGACTGTTGACACCATGAAAGGGAGAGAGACCCAGGGGAGTGGCTAGATTAGAAGACAAAGTGCTGGAGGGGAGACACAGTCAATTCCAGATTGGATATTTATGCAAATGGATAACTTATATAGGACCTCAGATAGTTCGCTTAAGAGATGATTCAGGGCAATGCTTGACCACACGAGAAAAGTCCAACCATGTAATTAGAGGATTTGTGTTTTGGGCTAGAAGATAGCAACTAGGCCTCTGGAAAGAGATGGGGAGGGGCAGGAGTCAGGTAGGAAATGATCCAATCAATTATGTTTATGTAATGGCAGTGAATAAAACTCTGGACCCTCAAGCCAAGTGAAATTCCTAGGCTGCCAATACTTCATGCATGTATTGCCCTACGTCAATGCCAGAAGGGTAACAAGTCCCCGAGGACATAGTAGCTCATGTTTGGAACCCCTCCCAAAACTGGTCCTAAAATACACCTGATGCAGATGGACTGGACAGGATTTACAACAACTATGTTAAAGAAGCTCAAAGAGCTAAAGTAAGATACAGAGAAAGTCAAGAAAACCATATATAAACAAAATGGAAGTATCAGCAAAGAGCAAGAAACCTAAATAGAAACCAAAATGTACAATAACTGAAATGAAAACTTCACTACAGGGATTCAAAGGAAGATTACAGCAGGATGAAGAAAGAATCAGCATACAGGACAATGGAAATTATGTCCAAACACAGAAAAAAAAAAAGAAAAACATTTAAGAAAAGTGAAAATACCCTAATGGAACTGTGATAAACCACTAAGGGAACCAATACACTCACTGTGGGATTCCCAGAAAATAGTGAAAGAAAATATTTGAATAAATGGCTGAAAATGTCCCAAATTTGATGAAAGACATCAATTTAAATATCCAAAAAGATCAATGCACTCCAAGAAAAATGAACTAAAATAGACTCACACCAATAAAACTTATAATCAAACTTGTGAAAGCCAAAGACAGAGTATCTTGATAGCAAGCTTGAAGAAACTCGTCACATACAAGAAATTCTCAATAAGATTATCAGCAGAGTTCTCATCAGAAACTCGGGAGGCCAGAAAACAGAAAAAAATCTGTCAACCGAGAATCCTATACCCAGGGGCACCTGTATGGCTCAGTCAGTTAAGCAACCGACTCTTGATTTCAGCTCAGGTCATGATCTCATGAAGCCTACTTGGGAATGCTCATTCTCCTTCTCTCCCTCTGACCTTTCCCTGCTCTCCCTCTCTCTCGAAATGAATAAATGAACTTAAAAAAAAATCATATATCTGGCAAAACTCTTAACAGTGATGAAAGAAATTAAGTCATTCCCATATATAAAATCTGAGAAAGTCTGTTATCACCAGATCTGTCTTGCAAGAAATTCTCAAGGAAATCCTACAGGGTGAAATGAAAGGACACTACGGGGCGCCTGGGTGGCTCAGTCGGTTAAGCATATGACTTCGGCTCAGGTCATGATCCCGCGGTCCGTGAGTTCAAGCCCCGCATCAGGCTCTGTGCTGACAGCTCAGAGCCTGGAGCCTGTTTCAAATTCTGTGTGTCTCCCTCTCTCTCTGATCCTCCCCTGTTCATGCTGTCTCTCCCCGTCTCAAAAATAAATAAACGTTAAAAAAAAAAAAAAAAGAAACGAAAGGATACTAGACAGCAATTCAAAGCCATATTAAAAAATAAAGATCTCGGGGCGCCTGGGTGGCGCAGTCGGTTAGGCGTCCGACTTCAGCCAGGTCACGATCTCGCGGTCCGTGGGTTCGAGCCCCGCGTCGGGCTCTGGGCTGATGGCTCAGAGCCTGGAGCCTGTTTCCGATTCTGTGTCTCCCTCTCTCTCTGCCCCTCCCCCATTCATGCTCTGTCTCTCTCTGTCCCAAAAATAAATAAACGTTGAAAAAAAAAATTAAAAAAATAAAGATCTCAATAAAGGTAAATATACGAACAATTATAAAAGCTACTATTATTTTAACAAGGGTTTATAACTACACTTTTTGTTTTTTACATGATTTAGGAGACTAGTTTAAAAAAACTGTATTAATCTAAAAGGTAGTGTTACTATAACTTCAGTTTATAACTCCACATTTAGTTTCCTACATAATTCAAGAGACTAATGGGTTTAAAAGAGTTATTAAGATTGAGGGCATACAATATATAAAGACGTAATGTGGTAACATGACCAACTAAAAGAGGTGAGAACAGAACTGTAAAGGAGAACTTCTTCTCCTGATATAAAATCAAATTAGTGTTATAAATTTAAGATATTAAATGTAATCCCCATGGAAACCACAAATAATCAGCTAGGGATAATATACACAAAGGAAATGAGAAAGGAATTTAAACATTTCACTACAGAAAGTCAACTGAACACAAGAGAAGACAGTAATGAGAAACAAAAAAAAAATCTATAATGCATATAAAAAGCCAATATCAAAATGACAGAAGTCTCTCTGTATTAGTAATTACTTTAAATGTAAATGCATTAAACTCTCCAATTAAAAAACAGAGATTGGGGGTGCCTGGGTGGCTCAGTCAGTTGAGCGTCCAACTTCAACTCAGGTCATGATCTCACAGTTTGTGAGTCTGTGCCCCACATCAGGCTCGCTGCTGTCAGGGCAGAGCTTGCTTCAGATCCTCTGTCCCCCCCACTCTACCCCTTCCGCACTCATGCACTCTCTCAAAAAAATTAAACATTTAAAAAAGTTTTTAAATAATAATAAAAAACAGAGATTGGCAGAATTGATAAAACACGTGATCCAAGTATATGTGTCTACAAGAGACTTACTTTAGATCTAAAGACACAAATAGATTAAAAGTGAAAGAACGGAAAACGATATTACATGGAAATACAAACCAAAAGCAAGCAGAAGTGGCTATATTATTATCAAACAAAATAGACTTTAAATCAGAAAAGATTACAAAAGACAATAAAGGACATTACATTTTAATAAAAAGTATAATACAGCAAGACGCTCTAACAATTGTAGACATATACTTAATGTCAAACCATCAAAACGTATGAAGCAAAAAGCGACACAATGAAGGAAGAAAGAGACAATCCTACGGTAATACATGGAAACTTCAATACCCCAGTCTCAATAATGGATAGCACAACCAAACTAGAAGTAAGGAAATAGAGGACTTAACATAATAAGCTAAGTAGAGCTAACAGACATATACAGAATATTCTACCCCACAACAATAGCATACACAGTCTTCTCAAGTGTACGTGGAACATTTTCCAGGACAGACCATGTTAGGCCACAAACTAAGTCTCAATAGGTTTAAAAAGATAACACATAAACTATGACTCATTTCTAATGGAAATGAAAATTTAACATATCAAAACTTATGGGATGCAATGAAAGCAGCATTAACTGGGAAATTTATAGCCATAAATGCTTACAAATTGATAGCTTATAAATGCTAAATAGCAAAAGAGGTCTCAAATCAAACTAAAGACACCTTAAGGATGTAGGAAAAGAACAAACTGAAACCACAGCTAGGGGAAGGAAGGAAATAGTAAAGATTAAAGAGAACTGATATAGGGAATAGGAAAATAGAGAAAATCCATGAAACAAAAAGTTGGTTCTTTGAAAAGATAACAAAATTGGCAAACTTTCGGCTACTGAAAAAAAAAGATTCAGAGTACTAAATCAGAAATGGAAGTGGGGACACTACTATCAATTCTGCAGAAATGTTTAGTTTTTTTTAATGTTTATTTATTTTTGAGACACAAAGAGAGCATGGGAGGGGCAGAGAGAGAGGGAGATAGAGAATCTGAAGTGGGCCCCAGGTTCTGAGCTGTCAGCACAGAGCCCAATGTGGAGCTTCAACCCGCAAACCTTGAGATCATGACCTGAGCCAAAGTCGGATGCTTAACTGACTGAGCCACTGAGGTGCCCAAGAGAGTACTATGAACTGTGCATCAACAAACTGTTTAACCTACATGAAATGGACAAGTTCCTAGAAACACAAAAGCCATGAAGACTAAATCAGGAAGAAACATAAGATCTGAATAAACCTATAACCAGTAAGGAGGCTGAATTAGTAGTAAAAAAAATCTACCAAGAAAGAAAAACCCTGGCCCTGATGGCTACACTGATGAATTCTACCAAACATTTTAAAAGAAGAATGAATAGCAATCCTCAAACTCCTCGAAAATATTAAAGAGAAAGAAACACTTCTTAACTCATTAAGGCCATTAGTACCCTGACACCAAAGCCAAAGACATTACAAGAAAACTACAAACTAATATCCCTTATGAACAATGATGCAAAAATTCCTCAACAAAATATCAGCAAACTTCAGTATATGAAAAGGACTGCACACCATGACCAAGTGGGGTTTATTCCTGTAATGCAAGAGCAATCTGACATATGAAAACTGATAAATGCGAATACACCACATTAATATAATGAAGGGAAAAGCCCACACAATCATCTCAATGCTGAAAAGCCTTTGACAAATTCAACATCCTTTCATGATAAAAACACTCAACAAACTAGGAATACAAGGAAACTTTCTCAATACAATGAAAGTCATAAATGAAAGACTCCTAGTAAACATGATACACACTGGTGAAAGACTGAAAGCTTTTCCTCTACTAAGATCAGGAACAGGGCAAGGATGTACGCTATCACCACTTCTATTCAACGTAGGCAGCAAAATTGGAAAGGAAAAAGCAAAATTATCTTTGTTTGCAAATAATATGATCTTATATGTAGAAAACTATAAAGATGCCACACACAGTAACTGTTAGAATGAGCTCACCAAAGTAGCAGGATACAAAGTCAACACAGAAAAATCAGTTGCATTTTTATATACTAATAATAAACTATCTGAAAACGAAATTACAAAAAAGGCCTGCTTACAACCACGTCAAAAAGAATGAAATACTTAGGAGTTAATCTAAACGACAAAGTAAAAGAGATACAATGAAAACTACAAAATGTTGCTAAAATGAATTAAAGATGTAAATAAATGGAAACGCATACCATATTCTTGGACTGGAAGTCTTAGTATTGTTAAGATATGGATATAAGTGTCTGACTTGGCTCAGGTCATGATCTCACAGTCCATGGGTTTGAGTCTCACGTCAGGTTCTGTGCTGACAACTCAGAGCTTGGAACCTACTTTAGATTCTGTGTTTCCCTCTCTCCCCTCCCCTGCTCACACTGTCTCCCTCTCTCTCTCAAAAATAAATATTAAAAAAAATTTTTTTAAAGATATTGATATAATCCAAAGTGATCTACAGATTCAATGCAACCCCTACCAAAATCCCAGGCATTTTTGGCAGAAACAGAAAAATCCATCATAACATCTATATAGTATCAGAATGGACCCTGAATAGCCAAAACAATCTTGAAAAAGAACAAACCTGAAGGACTCTAAATTCCTGATTTCAAAACTTACTACAAAACTACAGTAATCAAAACAGTATGGTATTGGCATGAAGACAGACATAGACCAAGAGAACAGAATCAAGATCCCAGTAACGAACTCTAGTATATATCATCAAATCATTTTTGATTAAGGGTGTCAAAACCATTCAATGGAGAAAAAGACACTGTTTACAACAAATGGTGCTTGGAAAACTAAGTATCTACATGCCAAAGAATGAAATTGAACCCTTATCTAACATCATATACAAAAATAAACTCAAAATCGATCAGAGACTTAAATGTGAGACCTACAACTATAAAATTCTTAGAGAACATAGAGCAAAACCTCCATGGCACTAGATTTGGCAATGATTTCTTAGATATGACACCAAAGGCATAGGCAACAAAAGAAGAAACAAATTGGAGCTCATAAAAATTAAAAAACTGCATCAAGATATTATCAACAGAGCAAGATAACCCAAAGAATGAGAGAACATATTTGCTCATCATATATCTGACAAGGGATTAATATCCAGAATATACAGAGAACTAAAACTCAAAAACAAAAAAATCCCAATGACAGAAATGGGCAAAGGACCTGAACTAGACATTTCCCCAAAGAAGATACACACACGGTCAGTAACCACAAAAGATGTTCAACACCATTAATCATTAGAGAAATGCAAATCAAAACTATAATAAGTTATCATCTCGACTTCATTAGAATGGTTATCAAAAAATCAGAATTTTTTGATCAAAAAATTGATCAAATTTTTTTTGATCAAAAAAATCAGAATAACAAATACTGGAGCACGTAGGGCCATGGGAACTCTTGGGCAATGTTGGTGGAAATGTAAAATAACATAGTTTCTGTGGAAACGGTACGGTAGCTCCTCAAAAAGTTAAACAGTGGAATTACGAGACAATCCAGCATTTTTTCTTGACATCTGCCAAAAGAATTAAAATCAGGTTCTCAAAGATACTTGTACACCCACGTCACAGCAGAATTATTCACAATAACTAAAATATGGAAGCCACCAAGTGTCCAACGAATGATAAATGGATAAGCAAAGTGTGGGATGTGGAATGTCACCGAGCCTTAGAAAGGAAGGAAATTTTGACACACGCTACAACATGGATGAGATTTGAGGACATTACGCTAAGTGAAATAAACCAGTCATAAAGACACACACACACTGTATCATTCCATTAATATGAAGTACCTACAGTAGTCAAAATCAGACACAGAAAGTAAAATTGTGGTTGCCGGGGGCTAGGGCAGAGAGATTGGGGGCGGTTATTGTGTGATGGGGAAGGACTTTCAATTTTACACAACGAAGAGCTTTGGAGATAGAGGTGGTGATGTTGCACCACGTTATGAATGTGCTTGATGCCACCACTGTATATTTAAAAATGATAAAATGTTAAGTTTTATAAAAAGGATAAAATAAGAATTATACAAAAAAACCCTAAAAATCAAAAAGAAAATGCAAACAAGTTAATAGAAAAATAGGTATTTATCATGAAAGGACATTTCAAAAAAAATAGATTGACCAATAATCCTATAATCAGGTGCTAAAGTTCCTCTGCAATGAAAGAGAAATAAGTGGAGACCACAGGAGACATAGTTTTGCACTCATCTGAGTGTCAAAAATTGAGGAGCCTTAGAGAATCGGGTCCTGGGCAAGGTATGGGTGGAAGGAGCTTCCATGCGTTCCCGGTGGAAGTGCCCTTTAGAACACACTGGCAATTATCCAGGAAAAACGTGGAAGTTGCATAGCCCGGAATCCATCAACCTCACTCCAGCAGACATCAAAGATGCGGTAACCACAGGCAGGAGGACCTCTGCAGGGACGACTCCGGGGAGCGCCTGTGTGAGCAGTGAGCACGTGAGCGCGCAGGGAGCGGACGGGAGCCAAGTGAGCGGGGAACTTACTGACCTTCTTCAACGGTAAGGAGCTTGGGTCTATTTTTACACAGAGTACAGAAAGGATGAAGTTACCTTACACAACAAACAAAACGAAGGAGGAAATAATTCCCCTGAAAAGGTGCTCTGGACTCTGGTTCAGGAAGCGGCCCCGGGGCCAAGGGCAAGACCCCCTCCTCTGGACGGAAGGCGCAGCTGCAGACTCGAGAGCCCGAGTGGGTGTGGAAGGGTCAAGGCTCAAGCGGGGGAGGAGGCGCAATGCACTGTCAACGCCGCGGTCGCAAGGGGACACGTCCGTGGCTGGGGAAGTGCTAGCCGTCTGGAACAGAGTCTGAGCACGGGGGGAAGCGCAGGCAGGACCTGGAGCCGAGCCGACCAGAGGCACCACGCAGACGTGGAGAGCGGTGCGGAGGCCAGCGGGCCCCCTGCAGGGAAGATGATGGGAGTGAGCAGGGAGCATGGAGGCGGGGCTGATGGAGGCGGTGGCATAAGGAACCGAGTCGGGAGATGCACTGGGCGGGACACGGCTGCACAGGACCTGGGGACGCCGGCCAGAGAGAGGCACTGAGGGCGGGGGGAGGCTTGAGCGGCTCTCTGAGGCCGTGTCCGGTCCCCAACCTGCCACCGAAACTTGGCAGGTGGACGGAGGGAGAGACGTTACGGGTCCCTGACCGGGCACGCGGACTCTGGGTCAAAGGGTTCCCCGGCTTCCGAACCACCAGAGAGGCCAGAACGAGAAGCTTCCCGGGGAACCAGGGCCCGCGGTCCCCTCCTGGTCTCCAGCCTGCAGGGTCTCCCGCGCGCCCGCATCCTGGCTCCTACCTGGATAGGTGTTCTGGGAGAGGCCTCTCTTTGCCGTCCACGGCTCCTGCCCGCGCTCCAGCTGGCAGATGAGCTCCGGTCTGGGGACAGGACACCCTGGTCACGGAGAAAGAAAGAAGACACTGGGATTTTTGGGAAAACAAATTAAACCTCTCAATCTAGTCTGTAAAGAAGACCTCAGAATAAAGCTCCTTCCATCCACACAAAACGCTAACATGCAAACCCAGAAACCAAAAGCAGGCCATACTGCCAGGGAGATTTCTTTCCCTCACAGTAAGTCAAAAACCAATATATAGAGTTTAATCATAAATGTCAAAATATAAAGTGTAATCACAGATAAACATAATCATAAGGGGCTGTGTCAAGCATCTCAAATGCATTATGTCATTTCAAAACTGAAATAAATTTACGAGTAATTGAAACAACTGACATATTTAAAATATTGACTTATTCGTTTAAAACAAGCTATTTGTCTTCATTGATCTAGGTCTTTTTCTAAATCCTAAGCAAAGTTTTGTATTGTTCTTCCTATAGGCCACGGACCAAATGAGGATTCTATCTCAGGATTTCCTCACAGCATTCTCAGCAAGTACAAATTGCAACCAGCACCACTTTGTAGATGAAGAAACTAACGCTCAGGCAAATCATGGGATTTGCCAGAGCGCACAGACCTGGTGATTGGCTGGGCCAAAACGGACACCCAAGTCCAGCCATATCCGCTCTCTATGCCGTTTTACCACAAAGCTACACAACACCGTTCCGGAAGTGCTGAGTCCCCGTGTGAGGATGATGAGGATCACAACGAGAGATATGACACTGTCAGAGGGGTTCTTAACTGCTAACCTGCACACCACCTGCTCACACCAGGCATTGTTCTGAGCTCTGTTCAAAAGTTACAGTCTGGGGAAGTACATACATGAGTAACTGGGGAAGTATATACATGTTACCAGCGAGCACACCCAGGTGCAGTGATGTGCCTGCAGCCACAGCTTTAAGGGGCAGAGCTAGGATTGAACATCAGGGGTCTGGTTCTGGGCCTTTGTCTCCTAAACACGACACTAAGGAGGAAACGGCAACACCCTTGTGTGTGGCCAGCAGCCCCAGACCAAGTGGGGGGTGGAGGTGAGGTCGTCCTCAGAGAACTGGGGCCAAGGGAAGGACAGACTCAGGGACTCTAGACTTCAACATTACATGAACTACTCAAAAATAATAAAACTGAAAATCCTATGCAGTGATACTATTACATATGACCTTTACAGAAACATCAAACATCATACACTGTCATCGACATTAAACACAAAAAGGATTTTTACTACAGAAAACAACAACAACAACAACAACAACAAAAAATGGAGAACAGCTCAAAAATCAACTACTGGGACCCCATCAAAATAAAAAGCTTCTGCACAGCGAAGGAAACAATCAGCAAAACTAAAGGGCAACTGACAGAATGGGAGAAGATATTTGCAAATGACATAACAGATAAAGGGTTAGTATCCAAAATCTATAGAGAACTTACCAAAGTCCACATCCGAAAAACAAATAATCCAGGCAAGAAATGGGCAAAAGACATGTATAGAAACTTCTCCAAGGAAGACATCCAGATGGCCAACCGACACATGAAAAAATGCTCAACATCACTCATCATCAGGGAAACACAAATCAAAACCACCATGAGACACCACCTCACAACTGTCAGAATGACTAACATTAACAACTCAGGCAACAACAGATGTGGCGAGGATGCAGAGAAAGAGGATCTCTTTTGCATTGTTGGTGGGAATGCAAACTGGTGCCGCCACTCTGGAAAACAGTATGGCGGTTCCTCAAAAAACTAAAAATAGAACTACCCTATGACCCAGCAATTGCACTACTAGGCATTTATCCACGGGATCCAGGTGTGTTGTTTTGAAGGTACACATGCACCCCCATATTTATAGCAGCACTATCAACAATAGCCAAAGTATGGAAAGAGCCCAAATGTCCATCAATGGATTAATGGATAAAGAAGATGTGATACACACACACACACACACACACACACACACACACACACACACACACAAAATGGAGTATTACTCGGCTATCAAAAAGAATGAAATCTTGCCATTTGCAACTACGTGGATGGAACTGGAGGGTATTATGCTAAGCGAAATTAGTCAAAGAAAGACAAATATCGTATGACTTCGCTCATATGAGGACTTTAAGACACACAACAGATGAACATAAGGGAAAGGAAGCAAAGATAATATAAAAAAAAGGAGGGGGGCAAAAACATAAGAGACTCATAAATATGGAGAACAAACTGAGGGCTACTGGAGGGGTTGTGGGAGGGGAGATGGGCTAAATTGGTAAGGGGCATTAAGGAATCTACTCCTGAAATCATTGTTGCACTATATGCTAACTAATTTGGATGTAAATTTTAAGAAATTAAAAAAAAAAATAGACAACAGCTTCATAAAATGAAGTTCGTTCCAGACTGAGTAAATTAAGCTGTCTGAGGGACTCATTGTAGTGGCCAAGACTTCCGGAGGACTGCGATGCCATGAGATTGTGTGGGTGAAGCAGGAACAGTGCCTGGGACAGCGCTCCAAGGACCTGAACAGGCTGTGACTATTATTATTCACTTTTCCTAAAAGTGACCCACTTTTTATTTTGCTTAGATTCCTTCAACAAGGGACTCTGTATCACTCTAGTAAGTGGGAAACCGGAGTCACTGGCCTTGAAGGCAGGTCACCCTGAAGACGCAGCAATGAAACCAAAACCATCTTAATTCCCAGTGAGCTCATGCTGCCTACTCGAGGCTGCATGCTCACTCTGTTGAAAAGGGAAATGAGTTTGGGGCGCCTGGGTGGCGCAGTCGGTTAAGCGTCCGACTTCAGCCAGGTCACGATCTCACGGTCCGTGGGTTCGAGCCCCGCGTCGGGCTCTGGGCTGATGGCTCAGAGCCTGGAGCCTGTTTCCGATTCTGTGTCTCCCTCTCTCTCTGCCCCTCCCCTACTCATGCTCTGTCTCTCTCTGTCCCAAAAACAAATAAAAAAAGTTGAAAAAAAAATTTTTTTAAATAAAAAAAAAAAGAAAAGGGAAATGAGCAACAATTGCAGGTAAGATATTAAGATTGAGCACTGAACCCAGATTTTTCTTCAACAATAATCAGGAGGCATTAATCATTCCATGAAATGATTATGTCACGGTGTCCCTCATTGTCAGCTGATGAAGTGTCCATGCACCATGTGACCACAGGGTTTTCAACCTCCAATGGACATTTAGGTCAAGATACTTTATTTTTTTTTTTTTTAGTTTATTTATTTTGAGAGAGAAAGCATGAACATGAGAGAGGGAGGGAGGGAGGGAGGGAGAGTGAGAGAGAGAAAGAATCCCAAACAGGCTCTGCACTCTCAGCGCAGAGCCCGATGTGGGGCTTGAACTCATGAACTGCGAGATCATGACCTGAGTCGGAACCAAGAGTTGGCTACTTAATCAACTGAGCCACTCAGGCACCCCAGGTCAAGACACTTCTTTGCAGGGAAGACAGGGAGGAAACTGTCCTGCGCGTTACAAGAATGTTTGGCAGCACTCCAGGTCTCTACCCACCAGGTGCCTGTCTCAGCCCCATCCCAGGGCGACAACCAAAATGTCCACAAACACTGCCCAGTGTCCCTCGGGGACGACATCGTCCCTGCTTGAGACCGCTAACCTAGAAGGCCATAACCGGGATGATGAGAGAAAGCGACAGGGATGGGGGAGGGCCCTGCATAAGATCTGGTGGTCAGGACACTGCTGGCGAGGAGGCGGGGACCGCGCACAGAAGGGTCACCGCCTCAGAGGCTGAAATGTCCACGAACACTCACCAGGCAGACACAACAGCAAGTTGAGGCCCGAGCCAGGTGTGTGCGCAGGAAAGCACCAGACGCCCCGCACAGCCAGAGCAGGGGGAGCTCAGGGAGAGCACGGAAGGGGAGAGAAGAGCTCAGCAGGGCCAAAATGCACTTTCTATTTGTAAACGTTTTGTTACAAAATATTTAATCTATCAAACTTCTCTAATTTTGTTTTTGCCTCTTCTCACTGAGACCTAACTCCAGTTCTCCAAAAATCGGCACGTCTTCCCCTAAGCTCTGGGGTCTCAGATCGAATGGCCTCGTGGTGACTAACCTCAAGCAGAGAAACATCTAAGCTGGCGTTTCTCAACTGGGCACCCTGGATTCTGCAGGCGGGATAATTCTTGTTGAGGGGCCCGTCGTGTCCATCGAAGGAGGTCTCCAGCATCTCCGGACTCTAACCGCCAGATGCCAGTTCCACCCACACCCAAGGCGCGACAACCCAGAGTGCCCGCAGACGTTGCCAAATGGCTCCTGGGGGCAAAACTGCCACCCGCCGAGAAGCACTACTCTAACCGCCTCTCTCGTCCCGGCAGACGATCCCGGCCCTGGAAACAAGTGACAACCGCGAGGGCACGTGAGCACAGAGAAGCCCCGTCACTGGGATCACCTCATTTACGACAATACCTGTCGGTGCTGAAGGCAAAGGCCTCCGGGGGGCCTGACTCCCTCCCTTCCCGGAGAACTTCCCATCACTCCCTGCCCTGCTGGCCCTGCTGAGGACACTTGAGCCAACCAGGCTCAGCCCGTCAGCTCCCCCTCTGGAATGTGAAATGAGGACCTCAGATGGAGACCAGTCTGTCCCGGGCACTGGGGCGAGAGGTCCAGAGGAGCTCGGGCTCAGGTGGCCATTTCTGCTTCAAGGACACCCCACACAGCCCCGCAGCAGAGTAAGGAAGAGAAACAACAGAAACAGGCAAAGACGCAGAAGTGCGGAATCTGGGGGCCACGCTTGGAGACAGAAGGTCCTCTGACAACGAGGTGGCAGGTTCTCCCCTAGGGTGGAGTGGGGAGCACTTACCCAGAGACACCAGAAGTCCACAGTTTTCCAGCATCACCTCCTGGTACAGGGTCCTCTGGGCCGGGTCCAGCTGCCCCCACTCCTCCTGGGTAAAAGTCACGGCCACATCGTCGAAGGTCACAGACACCTGGATGTCAAACAGAGGTAGCAGCGTGTTGGTGTTGGGGTGTTGGATGGGATCGGGCCTCATCCCTACATCCCTGATAAAGGTACAGAGTGATCAAGGCTCGAATCGCCAAGAACCTCGTGAGCGCCAAGCTCCGTGCCGGGCTCAAGGTGGGGGTGGACACAGCAGTGTAAGGGAGAAGCCTCCTCCACGGGAGCCACCGGAAGGTCACACAAGACAATGGAAGTGACGGGTGGACTGGGAGATGCAGACACCATGGGCCCCAGGACGTCAGAGGAATGAGTGAATAATGACAATAACAGCATTGGTGACAACGGCAGTACCTGAGCCTCACTGGTCCTGCTCGCTGCCTGCCCCATGCTGAGGG